GTGTATATTGGATATTTTTTATAACCAAAAGTGAAAAATATAGGGGGGTTTTTTTCAACATTTTCGGTATTTTTTTGGTTTATAGCGTAAAAAAAGTGTGAAAAAAAGGACAAATTTAATTTGGGTACAGCATTGCATGACCGCACAATTACCAGTGCCAACAGCAAAAAATAGCCTGGTCATGAAGGGGGTTAAATCCTCTGGAGGGCAAGTGGTTAAAGTGTAACTAAAGGCAACATCGTTTTTCTTTCATTTTAGATTAAGGAACGTTTGTAACCCCTTTTAAATTTTTTTGGCCATCTGGAATTTTCCCTTGACTTCCTGTCCCAGAACCAAAACAGGAAGTGAAAAGAAATCCCTCCAACATGAGAGAATCCCAGGGTGTCACCATTGGAAGATTTCCCCTCTATTACTGTTTTGAGGTCAACCCATTTCCTTTTACTTTCACTTTGGATGATAATGGTAAACAGGACAAATAGAGAGGATTAGTCTTCCTAAGGGCTCGTTCACACTTGGCTGTTTTGCCAACGCTTGCCAAATGCCCCTATAGCGTTTGGCAAGCGTTGGTCCAGCGTTTGCGGAGCGTTTTTAGACGAGAATAGGAGGCTTCAACGCCTCCTGACTCGTCCATTTTGCCGCGACGCAACGTGACGCAAACGCTCCCGTTAGAACAGCACCATGTGCTGTAATGTGCAGAATTGGCAGAGGCGTTTGGGAAGTGGTAAAAATGCTTCCCAAACGCCTCTCTGCCGCCTGCACACAGCGCTAGCGTGAACGTAGCCTAACAGGGACACAGACAGTGATAAAAACTGACGTGTTCTAATTCCTCTCCACTCTATCCAAAACTAAAAAAAAAGTTTTGCCTTTAGTCAGGGCTCGATAAGTCGCCATGGCAACTAGAAATTGCGTCCTGACACCTGGGGTTTGTCAGCCATCCGCTGGCAGGCAATGGGACGCAGCTCTTAAGGAAATCCCTGCAGCCTAATCTCCTAGCTGTTCTCTCACAGCAGCCAATCACAGCTCAGTGATAACACAGGGCAGCAGGCTCAGCCTCCTCCCCTCCATCCAATCCCTGGCCAGGGCTGTGTGTGAAGTTTTCTGTCCCCACCCTCTCTCACTGGCCAGCGCCGAGTGTGAAGTGTTCTGGTCCCACCCTCTTTCTGGCAGATGGTGATGGCAGCTCTGGGGATGTGTTCCAGGACATCGGTGGCTCTGAGCAGTGTGGTGATGAAGCTGCACCTGGTGGTTCGTAGTGGACAGCAGTGAGCAGAGGAATGAGGTGCCCACCAGAGTGATCTTGACTCTGCTGGGTGGAGGGGAGACCATTGTCTGAGCACATGTGTCTAGGAGAGGGCCTCACTGATCCAGGGATGTTGAGTTCCTATCGCCCAAGACATGTTTTTTTTTTTTATACCTTCAGCCCTGCTGCAGGCAAGCAGAGGGTTCATCTGTCACATGGAAGCAAACGGTGGCAGCGCTGCCACTGATTGCTTCCACACAGTACCAGCCTCTCTGCCCCCTCGTGTGAACCTCTCCCCGCCCACTCCCAGGCTCCGCTTGCCCATCTGCGGGCTTGGCTCACCGCTGTCAGCTAGAGTGGAGGGGAGATTTTTTTTTTTTTTTTTTATTAAATTGTAAAAAATTAAAAAAGTTACACCTGAGCACATAACATCCCGCCCACACCCCCCAAAAAATTAGCCCCCCCCACATACAAAAGCACACGCTGGGGCGCCTACGCATGGAAAGCAAATTGCGATACATATGTTGCATATCGCCGCACACACCAGGATGAGAGCAAAAATTCTAGCACCAGATCTCCTCCATAACACTAAATTGATGACCTCTAAGGGGCTTTAAAAGCATCACCTATAGAAAATTTAGGGTATTGAAATTCGTTGCCATTTCACAAGTGCACGGAAGTTTAAGGTTTGACATGTTAGATATCTATTTACTCTATGCAACCTCATCTTTTATATTTTTAAAAAAAATAGGGTAATTTATTGCTTTTTGTGTGCCCTAAAAATCAACTTTTGCAAAAATTACAACTACCACCTTTATTCTCTAGGGTCTCTGATTTCAGAAAATATATGTTAGGGGTTTTATGCAATCTTCAGGGATAAAATTATTTTTTTAATCTTGTACAAAAAAAAAAAAAAAAAAAAACGCAAAAATGGCTCTGGCAGCGAAAGGGATAAAGGATCAGCCCAACACTCCCCTTTCCTGAGGAGCAGCCAATCGGTGCTCATCACACTCTGTCCTCCCTGCTAGTCCCCGGATGCGGTGCAGGAGACAGGTAGGGGGAGGGGGAGGAGGAGATAAACAGTGCAATGTTAAAAATCCTACACATTTAAGTCGCTATAAAATCCCTTTTGTTTTTAAAACAGTCCTAAAATCACCTGATTTAAATATGGTTTTGGTTAAAATTAATTTTTTCATCTGGACAAGTAGATTGTCACGAGGGACAAGTAGATTGGCGCATCGATTTATTCCCTGGACAAGTAGTTTCGTTCAAAAATTTCCACACCCTTGCGATCATATATGGGGCCCCTGTATTATACCAATGGGGGGACACTTTTCCTCTCTGCGGGGGGTACTGTATTGTATCATATGAGGGGGGCTGTACTGCAGGGCTCGACAAATCCCAGATCACCATGGAAACTATAAATTGTACTCTGAAGCCTGGGCTTTTGTCAGCTGTCTGCCATCAGGCACCAGGACACCACTTTATTGATCCAGGGATTTGAAATCTCTGCGGCTTAATCTTTTATCTGTACCTCTCGGTGTGTACAGACAAGAGGCATTCTAATTGGTCATTACGTGGACAGCACTGACCAATCAGAATCTGTCTAGCCTGTCCTGTCAGTACTGGGAAGAGAGAAAACTGCAGAGATTTCATTCTATCAAAAACTGGCTCCTAGATTTAAAGCAAATTTGTCAAGCCCTGCCTTTAGTTATACTTTAAAGATGGCCATGCAAACTGATGTAACCTGAACCAAAAAAGTTTTGTTGTGCACAATGTGACTGAACTGACAATGCTTGTGTCAAAGGACCCCAAGTTACAAGTCCTAGGCATTCCCAACAACAGAAATGTCAGTTTTGGGTTAAATACTTCTTAGGTTCCATGCACACTAGGTGTTCAGCCCCTGATGTACAAGGGTCCAGCATTTAGCTTTGGGTGGAGGTAGGATGTCCAGACCCCTTCCAGCAGCTGGACAGGGGTGGACTATATGCACTCAGTGGTATTCGTGGTAGTATGCAGAGTAAAAGTCAGCACTAGAGTACTTAGGTTTAGGACAGTAAGTGCTCAGGGTCAAATGCAGGAACACAAGAAGCCTGTGTTGCATGTATTCATTCCTGGGAGAACACTACTCTAAACGGAAGTACCACTGAGTGCACTGCTCAGTCCTGTCAAGCCACAGCAGCCATCAGCCTCCAAAAGAGTTTGAAAGTAAACCTGTGCCCTCCACCTGCGGCTAAATGCCCAGCCTGCATGGGTCCTAATGCCTGGTTCACACGTTTTTTAGATTTGCAGAAATGCACTACAGTCCATTTAACAGTTTCCTATGGGACATGTTCACATCTATATTTTCAGGCGCTGTCACCACTCACTATTACACCCAAATGTTGTAAACAGGTAAAGTTCCATCCCTTTTGGTTAGTGTTGGAACAAGCCTGTTCCCGCCTACATTTTATTGGCTCCTTACTTTGGTAAGTTGCCTTGCTGGCCAATAGGAATGTGTGGAGGTTGATGCAGCAGGCAAGTTCTATCACCACCCAAATTTGTCCCAACTTTACTCGTTTAAAAGTGTTTAAAGTGGCAATGAGAGCTCCTACAGATACAGTATATACAAAGTGAATGCAGAACTCCTGATCTGCCTACTAGTTCTGAGTCAGTGCCTCAGAAAGTATGGAAGGAGACTGCCAGAACATCATCATCTGAAAAACCTGGGGACGTACATGTAATGTCTTATAAAAGGAACTTCACTCCCATTTTGTTTCTTTTCAATACCCGCTACTGGTTTGCTGGGTTATTCTAAAAAAAAGCAAAAAAAAAAAAAAAAAAAAAGCAAAATTCACACACTCAGCGGCATCTTATAGTGATCTGCTGTGCCCCCGCTGACATGCAACTCTTGGACATCAGGAGCCGTCTGTCTCTTCCTGGTTCTTGCAGCCAGTCCCCCCTGATGATGCTTATGTGTCGCTGTGGGGTTTATTTACTAAACCTGGTTGACTCAGAATCTTGTCCACTTCTGCATAAAAACCAATCAGCTTCCAGGTTTTATTGCTAAAGCTTAACTGAACATGCTGAGGTTAGAAGCTGATTGGCTACCATTCACAGGTGCCCAAGATTCTGAGTCAACCAAGTTTAGTAAATAAACCCCTGTGTGTCATCAGGGGGCCAGCTGCAAGAACCAGTGGTATGTGTAATAATTACTTTAGTTTCAGAATAGGATTTTTATTTCTTAAGAAAATACTTGTGATTCTATCCAAGTGAGATCTCATTGTTAGGAACATTGTGATTAGGAAAATAGGTTTCTAGATTGAATATGATGAGCTGTAAAAAATGTTAACATTTTGAGATATACAGTTTATCTACCTTGATTAATATCTAAATATACATTACATGGATTGGATGGATTGTAACCACTTATTATAAATATCTTATTATCCATGTATACAGATATACACACTATATCCACAAGGTGACCGCATGGATCAGGGGTGGCGAACACGCGGCTCTCGAGCCACGTGCGGCTCCCGGCCAAAATGAATGCGGCTCTGGAGCGGCCGGTCCGGTATTTCCACCGCGGCCGTGTCAGAATACCGGGCCGGCCGCTCAGCTCTGCAGCGGGACCTTATGGAGATGACTGCTGACCTTTGGGGAGGTGGGGAGCGGGTAACTGAATTTGACAGGTATCCGCTCTTACTTCTTTGACCTTACCTGTTCCTCTATCCAGCGGCGCGCTGTCTTCCCGGCTTCTGTAGTGTGGGCACTGGGCATGACAGCCGGGTGCCAAGTGCGCATGCGCAAGAAGCGGTGCTTTTTGTGAATGGTAAGGCGGTACCTGGGACACATGACAGATCCCAGAAGCCGCCGGACCAATCACAAAGCGCAAGTGCTTCTCGCTCATGCGCACTGGGCACCCGGCTGTCATGCCGAGCGCCATTACAGAAGCCGGGAAGACAGCGCGCGGCTGGATCGAGGAACAGGTAAGATCAAACAAAAACTCTGTGGAAGTAAGAGCGGGTACCTGTCAAATTCAGGTACCCGCTCCCCACCTCCCCAAAGGTCAGCAGTCATCTGTACTGTCCGCAGTCTCTGGTCATCCCTGTGCTGTCCGCAGTCTCTGGTCATCCCTGTGCTGTCCGCAGTCTCTGGTCATCCCTGTGCTGTCCGCAGTCTCTGGTCATCTCCTGTACTGTGTCTGCAGTCCATTAGTTCAGAATTTTTTGGTGTGGCTCTCTGACTTTCACAGTTTAAAATTTTGGCTCTGTGTGTCTAACTTGTTCGCCACCCCTGGCATAGATGTATGCTTTTGCATACACATTTTCTAGCTATTAACTGAAGAAAGTAGAATATATTACTCTGTACTTTATTTCTGCCTACAGCCCTGAAGGGTGACTGCTCCTGAAACACAATGGCTGTTCTGTATCGCATAAACACCTTTACTGGACTATTGCTTCCTACATCCTAGGGCTGAAAGAACAAGGAGGGGCAGTCAGCCCCGTGCAATTACTTATGTGCATTTTTTTTAGCTGGGCATACATGGATCTTTTTTTAATTTTCTCCTCAGTCAATAGGCTGATCAAAAAAATAAACATATTTGCCCATCCACACAAATGAGGTGGATGTAGAAATCCGCCCTGCTGCACTATTGTATTCTGACAGCAGGGACACCTTGGCTGTTAGAATTCACTGATTAGCACTGCAGCTGCTGATCGAGCAAAAATTTACCAACATTTCCCATTCAAGAGGAGTCCATCATTCAATTGGCTTCTCTTGAAGGAGAATGGCTATAGACGAAATTAAATTTGGCCGCTCCCTGCTGAACCTGCCAAAATTTCAAACCATGTTTGGCCAGCTTTAGATTGCTGACCCAAAGCCTGCTGAGATGAATGACACCAGTATCCTAGGAGGCCATGAACACTTGGGCGCTATGTCATTCTGGCTTAGGCAAGACCAGAAGGGGAAGGATTCATATTATGGAAGGTGGGTGTAGGGAGTGAAATTCAGCTTTAACTACACTCTAGGGATCTTGCACATTGCAGCTTGAAAAAGTCCAGCACAGCGTTTTTTTTATGGAGGTGAAATGTAGACCATTATATACAATGTGCCCTTGCACACAGGTGAGCAAATAAGCACCACGTATTTCTCAGTACAAAAAAAAAAAAAAAAAAAAAAAAAGGGAAGGAAAACCTGCATATTTGGTCAGCTGTTGCCACCAAATATTTGCATAAAAATTGATGAATTTTCCCTAAGAATATATTGTGAACTTTAATATGTGCTAAACACCTAGAACTATGCTAAAAAGCACCTTCATCCCAACCTATCCTTCCAGCCCCAAGTCCAATCTTTAACAAACTCATGCAGACTCCACCTCCGCAACATCGCCAAAATCCGCACGTTCCTAACCCCAGAAACCACTAAACAGCTCATCCACTCCCTCATCATATCACGACTCGACTACTGCAACTCCCTCCTCACTGGCCTGCCTCGCCGCTGGCTATCCCCTCCAGCTTCAGTCGATCCTGAATACGGCTGCCAGACTCATTCACCTTTCCAACCGCTCCGTCTCCGCCACCCCCCTCTGCCAATCCCTCCACTGGCTTCCGATTGCGCAACGGATCAAATTCAAAATCCTAACGCTGACGTACAAAGCTGTCCACCATACTGCCCCGAACTACATCACTGACCTAATATCCAAGTACCCCCAGCCCAGCACGCACACTCCGCTCCTCACAAGACCTCCTTCTCTCTAGTTCCCTGGTCTCCTCCTCCCATGCCCGCCTCCAGGACTTCTCCAGGGTGTCACCCATCCTCTGGAACTCCCTTCCCCAACCCATCAGATTATCACCTACTCTCCTCTCTTTTAGGTGCACCCTGAAAACCCATCTCTTCAGGAAAGCCTACCCCACCCCCTGCTAACTTGCCGACCTCCTCCACTCTTCCTACCACTCCATCCCCCACAGCTATCTCCTCCTGTGCCACCATCCTCTTCCTCCTAGATTGTAAGCTCGAAAGAGTAGGGCCCTCAATCCCCTCATGTTCTGCATTGTATTGGTATTGTTCTGTCACATGTTCTGTCCCCCTTTGTAATGTACAGCGCTGAGTGAACTATTGGCGCTTTATAAATACTGTATACTAATAATACTGCATCCTGGTGCCATCTCTTCCCCATGAAAGCATCTCACACAACCAGCCAGCCACATGATGTAAAAGAAAGCAGGCTTAGTCACCCCAGGCCACACTCTTCCACTGATCTGAGGTCCACATCTGATGATCACCTTCCCACCATAGGAGCCTGTGTGGACACAGGTCAGCATGGACACCCTGACCGCTCTGCAGCTACACAGCCCCATACACAACAAACTATGATGGCCATTTCTTTCCATACATCAACTTCAGGGAAAACATGTTCATTTGTTGCCTAATATACCCATCTACTTTCAGATGGGATTGTAATGAGATAATCAATGTTATTCAATTAGCTGTCAGTGTTTATAAAGTTATGGCTGATCTGTGTATACTGCACACTCCTCTGATACTTGTAGTTCTCCTTGATGATGAGGTCAGTCAGGCCCTCACGTTTCCTGACAGGTCCCAGATGTCTGCCCTCCTCACACCTTCACCTGCCCAGTGCTGAGACCCCCCTCCCTCCATTGCAGCAGGAGGCGTACACAAAGCTCTGGAGAAGGCCCACTCACTGACCTCAGAAGTCTTCCAACCCCACAGCGGTATACACGAGGCGATATCCTCTAGCTGCGCACATACATGACACAATACGACACCCGGCACAGTCCGCAGTGTGAGAATGAAACTTCCCGCGCTCTATGGGATGGCGCGCTCTGCAGCTCCGACAGCCAGCCAATCAGAGGACTGGAGACAGGCCCCGGTACTCGGCGCTCTGGAAGATGACGTACACAGTGGTCACGTGAGACAAGCCTCTCCTTGAGGAATAGCCGGGGTAGGCTGGGTAATGAGCGGATTAGTAGATGGCAGAGAGTGGAGAGAGGTGACTGGTGTCAATAGAACTAGTGCAGAGGGGATGTGTGTCCCTGACCCCTGTGTATGTACAGCAGGGATAGGGGGAGGGGTGGCAGACTGCTGGGTCTCAGGTAGTTGGAGTCATTTTCTGGTGCAGATGTTAGATCTCAGGTCTGTATGATGTATTATGGTTCTCTATGTGCTCTGTGTACACTGCAATGGAGCTGTGCAGAAACATACACATGGGGGCTCATTTACTAACACTGGAGAGCGTAAAATCTGGTGCAACTCTGCATAGAAACCAATCAGATTCCAGGTGTTATTGCCAAAGCTCCACCACTTTCCCCCCAAAGCTCATCCACTTGAGGATTTACCCCCCCCCCCCCCCCCCCCTTCCTGACCAGATCATTCCAATACAGCGCTGCATTACTTTGACAATTGCACGGTCATGCAACGCTGCACCCCAATTAAATTTGTCCTTTTTTCCCCCCCCCACAAGTAGAGCTTTCTTTCAGTTGTATTTGATCACCTGTGCGTTTTTTTTAAATTTTTGCACTATAAACAAAAAAAGACCAACAATTTAAAAAAAAATATATTTTTGACTTTTTGCTATAAAACATATCCAATAAAAACATTAAAAAAATTAAATTTTGTCATATAGTTAGGCCAAAATGCATTTTTTTACGTCTTTGCTAATAAAAAAAAAAAAAAAAACTAGGTGTACCTCAGTGTACAAATGCCTCGGTTAACATAGTTTTTGGTTTACGAATGAAAATCCATTTAAAAATAATGCCTCGGTTTACACAATTTTTACAAATTTTTTTGCAGTGTGAAGTGTATGTCGGTGCTGATTTTTTAAATGCAATTGCCAGCTTTTTTTTTCTTCACTATAGCTCACAGAATTAGCTGTCACTTTCCCCCGGAGTTAAAGGAAGCTTTGTTTCTTTTAACTCTGGGAAATAAAAGGAAACTTTCTTTCTTTTTAGCTGGGGGGAAAGTGACAGCTGAATCTCTGAGCTATAGTGAAGGAAAAAAAGCATAATTACATTTAACATACGGCACCATAAAACATAAAAAAAACAACGCCGGGTCCCCTCTCCCCATCCATACCATGCCCTTCGGGTCTAATATGGATTTGAGGGGAACTCCCACACCAAAATTTAAAACTAAATGGTGTGGTCCCCCCCAAAATCCATACCAACCCTATTCGAGCTTGCAGCCCGGCAGGTCAGGAAAGGGGGGGGGGATGAGCGAGCGCTTCTCTCCTGCACACATAGTTGGCCACATGCCCTCAACATAGGGGGGTGCTTTGGGCAGGGGGCTACCCCCCAAAGCACCTTGTCCCCATGTTGATGGGGACAAGGGCCTCCTCTTCCCCACAACCCTGGCCGGTGGTTGTGAGGGTCTGCGGGGCAGGGGGCTTACCTCGGAATCTGCTCGCTCGTCCCCCCCTTGCCTGACATATCGGAGCTGCATGCTCAGATAAGGGTCTGGTATGGATTTTGGGGGGACCCCCATGCATTTTTTTTTTTTTAAATTTTGGCATTGATGTTCCCCTCAAAATTCATACCAGACCCGAAGGGCTTGGTATGGATGGGAGGGGGAACCCCACACAGGTTTTTAATTAATTTTTTTAATTGCGGAAATTCTTTTACATTCAGCTGTGAACAGCCGATTACTGTGAGCACCATGATAACGCGATCACTGTGACCAAGCATAGCGATCACATGATTGCAATGTAAACAAAACTGTCCTGAATGGCTTCCATTCATAACTGCTTGCTTACGGTTGTGAAGCTGTGATTGGGCTACTGCTATCACATGGTACCTGATACCCTGTACCATTTGGTTAACTGTAGCCAATCACAGTCAACAGTAAGAAAGCTGTCATAAATTGAAAGGCATTCATGGCAGTGGCTTATAACAGTGATCTGCTGTTATAAGCAATACCAGTGTAAAAAAAAATCCATGATTACTGTTACTGGTAACTAGGTATCATGTGATCCCTATGATTGGTCTTAGCGATCACATAATTCCAGTGTAAAACAAAGCAGTCATGAATGGTTTCCATTTATGACTGCTTGCTTACTGTTGTGAAGCTGCGTTGGTACCTGGCTATTTGTACCATCTGATTAGCTGTAGCCAATCACAACATATCAACATAACTAAGCTGTCATGAATGTTAACCTATTCATGACAGCTAAAGCTATTGCTTAAAACAGTGTCTTTCACTGTTATAAGCAATAACAGTGTAAAAAAAAAAAAACCCTAATGATCCTCCCAGAGTAGTATTGTCACAATGGTGACACAGAACTATACTGATGAAAATAATTTTTAAATATATATATATATATATATATACACACTCTTTTTTTCCACATATTGTCGCCAGTCAGTATCCCTGATCACCTCCAAACCAGT